AGCTGGGCGCCACAGCTGGTGGGTCGTGGGTGGCCTGGGGTGGAGGAGGAAGCTGGGAATTCCCCGGGCCAGCACTGAGAGCCGCAACAACAGTAGCTGTTCAGCACCCGGCAACCACCACAGGAGCAATCCCGAGGAGGCCGCAGTGTGATGGAGGCAGTTTGCTGCATGGGACTGGTCACAGAAGCCACCCCCTGTGTAGGCGGCGGCTGCAGGGGCGTGTGGAACTGCCCTCAGGAGCTACCCCTGTGGAGATCGTCACAGTTCGACTTGTCCCGTCGCCATCTTGCCGAGCGTCTGTCTTTATTTTCAACATTTCAAAGTATTCTCTGATTTCTCTTTTTATTTCTTCCTTAACCCATTGATTATTTAAGCATGTGTTGTTTCATTTTCACATGCTTGTGAGTTTCCAATTTTTTTCCTGATCTTGACATCTAATTTCATTCCACTGTGGTCACAGAACATACTGCACACTGTTTCTATCCTTTTACATTTATTAAGGATTGTATTATGGCCTAGTATATGGTCTATCCTGAAGAATGTTCTATGTACACTTAAGAAAAGTGTATATTCTGTTGTTGGATGGAATGCTCTAAAGATATCTGTTAAGTATAGTTGATTTATACTATTGTTCAAGTTTTCTATTTCCTTATTTATCATCTGTTTAGTGTTCTATCCATTATTGAAAATGGATTTACTGAAGCCTCCAATGATCATTTTTGAATCATCTATTTTTCCCTTCATTTCTGTTAGCTTTTGCTTCATGTATTTTGGTGCTATAATTAGGTGCAATATGTTTATTGTTAGAAATTGTTAGATTTTTTTGATAGATTGACCCATTCATCATTATAAAATGTTTCTCATTCTCTCTAGTCATTATTTTGTTTCGAAGTCTAATTTGTCTGGTGTTAGTATAGTTACACTACCTTTCTTGCGGTTGCTGTTTATATGACATATCATTCTCCATCCATCTACTTTCAACCTATTTGTATCTTTGAATCTAAAGGCACCTCCTGTAGACAGCATATAGTTGGATTATGATGATCTCCACCTGTTGACTGGATTGTTTAATCCCTTTGCATTTGATGTTATAATTGATAAAGCTGAGTTTACATCTGTCATTTTACTTTTTGTTTTCTACATGTATTGTGTTTTTTGTTCCTCTACTCCATCTTTAGCCGTCTTTTACATTAAGTGAATGTAGCATTCTACATTGCTAATGTAGTATTTTAATTTCTTTAGTGAGTTTTCATTTTTTTCTCCTTTGGTGGTTGCTCTAAGCTTTACTATACATATCATCCTAGCTCATCAAAATCAGTTTAGATTTATACTAATTTAATTCCAGAGATATAGAAACATTACTCCTGTATAACTCTCTTCCATTTTCCTTCTTTTGGTGGTAGTATTGTTATATATATTATAAGAAACCCAACAATACATTGTTACAGTTACATGTTACAAACTCAATAATGCATTGTTACAGTTGTTAGTTTACCATATGTAGTCATTTCCTACAGCTTCACTCCCACCCACCTCCTTTTTGCTGTTACTGGCAAATACATCACACTTCTGTATGTTATAGTCTTGATCATATATTATATACATAATTTTAAATACTATTTTTAAAGTCAGGTAAGAAAGCAGATAGTGGGCTTGGTTCAAATATCACAAACACTTGCCTTCTTAGCAAATGTTTGTATATTTCTCTTAAATAGATGTTTCTTTATTTGCTGCTTGGCCTTAGTACCATTTCAGAACATATCAATGCCTGTATGTAAAAAAATTATTTTCACCAGTCTCACAGGAGAGTAGGTCAGTGGAGCTCCTCACATTGTCATATTGAAAGTCAGTCTTAGCTTTCATTATTAAAGCTTTTTTTTTTTTTTTTTGAGTTGGAGTCTCACGCTGTCACCCAGGCTGGAGTATAGTGGCACACTCACAGCCACCCCAGCGTTGACCCACCAGGGTCTGGCGATCCTTCCACCTCAGCCTTCCAAGTAGTTAGAACTACTGGTATGTGCTACCACACCTGACTAATTTTTTTTTTTTTAATTACAGAGATGAGGTCTTGTCAAGTTGTCCAGGTTGTTCTCAAACCTGTGAGTTCAGGCAATCCCCTCACCTCGGCCTCCAAAGTGCTAGGATTAAAGGTTTAAGCCACCGAGCCCGGCCTATTAAAGCTTTAAACCAACACCTTGATATTTGGAAGAGGAAGTTCGTGTTTCTTGTTTTAATTCAAATTGTCTTAGTTATTCTTGTCTCTTTTTTCTTCCATATGAATTTTAAAACAGCTAGTTAAATTCCACAAAATACCTGCTGGGATTCTTATGAAATTATGTGAATTTGTAGTCTGGCTTGGGAAAAAATGATCTTTATGATATTCAGCCTTCCCATTCATGAACAAAGACTATTTTTCCTTCTACTTAGATCTTTAAAATATGTCTTTTAAAAAATCATAATTTTTTAAATGAAGGTTTTTCAATTTTTTTTTTGGTTAGGTTGAGTCCTATTGTTGCTATTGTAAATAATATTTTTAAATATATTTTTTTAACTCTTTTACCTTTTTATACTAATGTTTAAGAAAAAAATTAAAAACAGATGCATTCAGCATCCTTGCTAATTCATATAATTAGTTTTAATAATTTAATAGCAGTTTCTTGGATTTCTTTGTAGCTTAATTATGTTGTTTGAGAATGATGATGATTTTCTTTTTTTATCCATGTCATGCACCGTTTCTTTTTGTTTTTCATTTTATGTAGACTAGAATTCCAACATGATATTAAAGATAAGCATTATGATACTCATTCTTTTCTTGTTTCTGATTTTAAAGAAATATTCTATCTTCTATCATAAAAAGAATGAACTAACATCTATTGAGTATATATCAGGTGTCAGACATTGTTCTAAGAATTTACATAAGTTATCATTATGCTATCATAACAAACTCTAAGGTTATCATTCCTGTTTCATCAAGAATAAACTGAGATTCAGTGAGTTGAATAATCTGTCCAAGGTCAGCAGAAGTAGAATTTGGACCCAGAAGTCTGCCCTAAGAGCAAAAGGTCTTTACTACTTTTCTGTACTGCTTCTTAAAATGAGCATTAAAGTCTGCCCTAAGAGCAAAATGTCTTTACTACTTTTCTGTACTGCTTCTCAAATGCTTTTTCTGCATTTAATTTGATCATATGGTTTCCCATTTAATTTGCTAATGTGGAAAATTAAGATGATAAAATTTGAATTCCTGAGATAAACCCAACTTGGTCATGACATTTTTCTTTTTAAAATACATATATTAGGCCAGGTGCAGTGGCTGAAGCTTATAATCCCAGCCTTTGGGAGGCCGAGGTGAGAAAATTACCTGAGTCCAGGGGTTCTAGACCAGCCTGGGCAACTTGGTGAGACCTCATCTCTACAATAAATAAACAAATAAGCCAGGCGTGGTGGCATGTGTCCATAGTCCAGCTACTTAGAAGGTTGAGGCATTAGGATCACTTGAGCCCAGCAGGTCGAGGCTACGGTGGCCATAAGCATGCCACTGCACTCCAGCCTGGGTGAAAGAGTGAGACTTTGACTCAAAACAAACAAACAAAACATATTGATGGATTTCATTAGCTAATATTTTATTGAGAATTTTTGCACTTATGCTCAAAAGTGAGATTGACCTATAATTTTCCCTTTTCCTGCTAGTTTTGATACCCAGGTTATACTAGCTAAACTCATAAGTAAGTTGGGACAGGCATTTGGTGAAAGACATTTCAGTCTTCATTATCAGGCTGACATATGTAAGCAGCATAAAAGCAAGTCTAGTATATTTAGACTCCCAGATAATCCAGCGAGTCTCCTGACACCCAAGCAAATGCTAAGCATTGGACAAAACTGCCCAGGGGCACTTGAGCCACTTGTTATTTGGCAGTCTAGGATTGCCAAGACTGGCAAGTAGCCTAATGTATTCACTCCCAAAAGTTCTGAGTCTGTATTTTGGTTTAATATTAATGACTGTCTTTTATTCAACCATATTCATACCCAAATAAATTTTTTTTTTGAGAGAAGGTTTCACTATTTTGCTCAGGTTGGCCTCAAACCCCTGGGCTCAAGTGATCCTCCTGTCTCAGCCTTTCAAGTAGCTGGGACTATAGGTGTATGCTACCATACAGGTTCCAAAAATAATTTTTGAATTTAATTTACTGGTACTTTATAGTTTAGAAAATACTTCAATATCTTTTATCACACTGAATTTCCCAAGTAGCTAAGAGCTATATTATTATTTCCATCTTATAAATTGTTTTAGTCCATTTTATTGATTACTTTAAGTAAAGATGACTTAATTAAGCGAATCAGTCAGTAGGGAAAATAGTTTAAAATATCACATTTAATTAGCATCTTACATGTCAGTGATGGTACCAAGAATGAAATAATGAGTTTTCAAAGGGGAATTGAAGGTGGGAGGAGTTTCCATTTCTGTTGATAGAATAGACAATTCTTAATTTACTATGAATGTGACCATAAGACTTTTAATACATCTCCAACTTTCTAGGTTATTAATCTGTTGTTTAAGAGATGGGGTCTCACTCTGTTGCTCAGTCTGTAAAGTAGTGGCACAATCATAATTCACTGCAGTCTTGAACTCCTGGGCTCCAGTGATCCTCCTGACTCAGCCTCCTGAGTAGCTTGACTACAGCCGCATGCCACCATACCCAGCTGATTAAAAACAATTTTAGAGATGGGGTCTTGCTATTTTGTCCAGGCTTGTCTCAAACTCCTGGGCGATCCTCAGTTCTCAGCCTTCATAGTAGCTAGGATTACAGGCATGAGACACCACATTTGGTTTATTAATTTATTTTTTAAGCAAAAATTTATGTTATCTCTGCTAGTTATCAGGTACTTTTCTAAGCACTATACAGTAACAGGCAAAGTTGAGATTTTTTTCCTGAATAAACAGAGTTGGGATAAATAGAGAAAATGTTCAAATATAATTATTTAATAATTTAGAAACATCTTACCATAATGTAGAGCTGTTTGACCTTCATTGTCCTGCAAAAGAAATAAATAATACATTTTAGAAGTCTAAGTAACTGCAGAAGTATCAAAGTATATAAAAATATATCTGATAAGCCAAAGTTCCAAAAGTTTGTCAGACAGGAAGAGAAGAAGTCAGTTTTCTGAGTCTCACAGTAACTTGTGACCAAGCTCCATCTCGGAGAGAACAGTAACCTGCTCATTACAGCACCTACAGGACAGTGATGGGATAACTAGCTATACCTGAACACAATAAATCAAAGGGAACCCCTTCAAATGTGGCCACTTGGTTACCTAGTTAGTGGCAGAAAAATTGACATTGTGTATCATGTATTTTCACCAGCATTAAAATGTCTTTCTCCTAAGCTTGTCTCCAAATCTATCTAGCAAGTCTGTGATTTATAGTGGGTAGTTTTTAAATCCCTTTTCAAAGACTCACAAATTCCAGGCTAATAATATAGGTTTCCTAACCAATTCAAATATCATAAAGAAGTATGACTTCAAAGCGCATAAAGTTCCAGAAATTGTCATGAAAGCCAAAAGTTTCCCTAGGTTTCTCAGAAAACACCAACATTTCAGTAATTTTTTTCTTTTAAAACCAAGATATTCTAACTGTGTATATTATTTACAGCATGGTTAAGTGCTCTTTAGCAATGCTACCTCTTATATTGAAAGCAGCTGATTGTATTACATGAGCAAACATAATTAGAAAAAGTACACAGGTGAAAAGTAGAATTTAGGAATTAATTTGATAGGCACTTTGTAATGTGCATGGCCATGATTATGACCCTGGTACTTAAGAATAAATGCTAGGCCGGGTGCAATGGCTCATGCCTATAGTCCCAGCACTTTGGGAGGCCGAGGTGAGAGGACTGCCTGAGCCCACGTGTTCAAGACCAGCCTGGGCAACTTGGTGAGACCGCATCTCTACAATAAATCAAAAAAATTAGCTGAGTGTGGTGGCTCACATCTGTAATTGGTAAAGCTGAGGGGAAAGATCGCCTGAGTTCATCAAGTCGAGGCTGTGGTGTCCATGAGCATGCCACTGCACTCCAGCCTGGGTGACAGAGTGAGACTCCAACTCAAAAGAAAAAAAAAAAGAATAATGCTAAACTACTACTATGAATAACATGGAGGGCTGATATATGTGACAAAACAAATGATTCTTGGGTACCCTACATCTGCCTTTCTCACTTCCTAAAATCTGAATGTAGGGGTGGGGGTTGGCTCCAAAACCTTTTGGCTATGAGTCTATTTATTCTAGAAAGAAAAGAAAAAGCTGCCACAGGGAACTTATTTTCTGGTTCAGACAGGTAGTAAGGAAAAAATCATGGCAGGAGGGCAACCTTGAGGCAATGTAGTTTGTTTTCCTACTAGAGAATAGAAATTCTGATTGGATCTGGAGGTGATGCTTGTGTGGATGGGTGACAGAAGACATGAAAGTAGTAATTTTGGTGGGGGTGGGAGCGGGTAGGATACACTTGGCTGAGGTGCAACAGTGATTATGCTTGGGATGTCCAGCAAGCACCTTAAGGATAACTAAGGAAAGTAAAAGATGGGAAGCAGCACCCAAAAGTCAGGAAGCAGAGGAGGCTGCTTTCGCCTGCTTTTTTCTTGTCTTTCTGAATACAGCCCCCACCTTGCTCCCCTTTGACTTGCCCTGCCCTTGAGATTAAGGACAGATAGGGGGAGAGAGCTGAGGCAGTGGTAGTGAACAGCATCTGAGTGATTTCTACACAGGGCAGCATGACAATGTGAAGTTGTGCTCCCGAGTATCTTGTCCTGCTTAGCTATCTCTAGGGGCAATTTCGAAAGAAAAAAGGACTGGCCATTATGGCCTAAGGCTCACATCTACTTTGCCAGTTTCCAATGTTAATTGGTAAAAGTGTGTGTGGCACACACATACACATGTGCACACCTGATGGGTTTACACACTCACATTTATGGTTTAAAAGTGAAAGTCTAGCAATGAAAGCAACTTTGGAAAGGGCTTAACCTATCGCAATTTCAGGACTCTACTGATGCATCCATCAAGCAAGACTGCAGTTTCCATAATTACTCATCTTTGAAAAACAGTTCTTCTGCTATTTGTGTATACCTTTCATGTTTAATCTCTATGTTCATACATATTCAAAGTTTCCACGTGTCACCTCTTCCCTCTTTTCTCCCTCCCTTCCCCCCCCACCAGCAGTGTCCAGCATTTGCCAATTCCACCCTTGTGCTCGTGTGACCAATGATCAGGGACCACCTAAGAGTGAGAACACGCAGTATTCAGTTCTTATTTCTGTGATAGTTCACTTAGTATGATGGTCTCCAGCTGCATCCAAGTTGCTGCAAAGGCCATGATTTTGTTCTTCTTTGTGGCTGCATAATATTCCATCATGTATATGTACCACAGTAAATAGATAATACTTAATAATAGGCAGTGATGAGTATTCTGGGGGAAAAAAACTAAGCAGAGTAAGAGACTAGAGTGACGTAGGGTTCTGTTTTATATAGAGAGGACAGGGGAGGACTTTATGAGAAGTTATGTTTACACAGAGAATTGGGGAAAACCCTAGGATGGCCATTATCTTCCTTGTTTTAAAGCAAGCATGTTACTCAAGTCAAGCTAATTAGAGCTTTCTCTCTGAATTTTTCAAAATGGAGTTAAGGGATACAAGTGTGTGCAGAGAGAAGGTCCTTTCCTCTCCTATCAAAAGTAAAAAGTGCCTCCCCATAAATTTGTATAATCATTATGTGTCAGTTTAAAAAAACATAAAGGATATAGTGAAATAAGCCAGACACAAAAGGCCAAATAAGGCATGATCCCACTGACATGAGGTACCTAGAGCTGTCAAATTCATAGAAACAGAAGAATAGTGGTAACCAGGAGCAGGGGGAGGGAAGCATGGGGAGTTACTGTTTAATGAGCACAGTCATGGAGAAAACATGCTTCCAAGCTGTTCTCTATGAGCAGAAAATTCTCTTTAGTGTTACTGGATTTTTTGTGATCATAATGATTCTGATGCTCTAATTCAATTCACACTTGATCCACCATCTCTGCTAATGTCAGCTCTAAAGACACAGTAGTAGTGCAGCATGAACCATTAAAAGAGTAATAACAGAATTGCATAGAGGGGCTGGATTTTCCCATGATGTGGTTAATGAGAAAAAATTCATATCCAGTAATCTACTGATGTTTTTTAAAAATTAGTGTTTTAAGTGAATATATGAGAAGTGAGGCACTCAAGCAAATTGGTTGTAAGAAATTAGAAGAATGATAAAAATTTTGAGTTAGTAATACAGTTTGGGGAAATTTTTAATATTATTTCTAAGCCTAGAATGTACTGCCTCTCTTTATGAGATCTGTGACTTACTAACAGAAAATGGTTAAATTAATCTGACAAGTTAGAAATTTGCAAATATATTTTATGATTATTTTCCCAGATATATAAGTTAAGCCTTAAGCTGCGGGTCCTAGGCACATTCCTTTCTAGGGAGAAAAATACAGATATAGTAGCACCTCCTCATTTAACTGGCATCTTTAGAGAATGAGGCAGTTAATGTCAACAGGTATTTCAAATAATTGGAACATTACCATTTAAACACCCAAACATTAAAAACACCATCTCTGTAAACTATTTTGTATATAATTATTTCTGATGCATCTTACTTCCTATCACTCTATATGAAGAGCATGGAAGAGAATTAATCTTTTCTTCATGATTCAGAGTTAGCATCATAAACTGATGAGGTCTCTCTATACCTGGTACCAAGTAAATGTCTGGGAAAATGAGTGAATAAAACATCATTTATTGTGTTTGCTATAATAAAAATGATGCCTATATAAGGCATTAAAGTACATAAGGCTATTTGGCCTTTCATAAAATGGCCCCAGACTTTTGTTGAGTTTGATTTTAGTCTTCCTTTCTTTTCCTCAGCCACAGGATTACCATTTATCCTTTATTACTGTCAGTGTGCCTGCACCCTTACCATTTTCTACTTCTCTGCTGAGAGTTAGAAATCAGACAAGCAATTCCTGAAGTTGTGCCTAAAACCAGGAACTTGTCTCTGAGTGGTGATCTGGTAACAGTCTCACTACATCCTTTATAGAAAGCTTTATCACAGATCTGTGTATTTTATTTTCATGTTGGTTTTATATTAGTTTTAGGCTGTAGTCTTTTTGTTGTTGTTGTTTTTAACTTTTGGGAAAGCTTCCAAGCATAGGCTATATTCTTGATTAGTGATTTTCAATTTTTCTTTAACATGCCTTGGAAGTTTTGGTTCAAATGGATTCTGGAACGACAAGTCAATGAAGCAAATATAAAAGTGGGGTTGCCCTGGTTGAAAAGCCTTTGCCCACTTGGCATTCTTGCCTCTCTCAATTGCCAGCAATCTCCCCAGAAATGGTGTCTTTGGGTAAGTTAGAGGTCACTCTTTTATTGGCTATCTTTCTGTTTCTGGACATTTGTCTAATTCTCTACAAAATAATGGAATGAACTTGTTAATCCGTAATTATAAGATAACTTTCTGGTCAGCCCATCCTCAATTTTCTTAATGGCTCTCTCGGAATAAAGAATAGAAAGTAACAGTATATATTCTCAAAAGCTGACATAATACAGCAAAATACAAAAACTTGATTCTCTGGAGATCTTTCTCATTGAGTAAGCAGTGATTAAACATCTAATCTTTATTTGAATGAAAACCATACATCTACGATCAAATGGAAATTGGTATTTTCAGCTCTGCTTTATACCATCACCCTTTCAGTACAGAGAAGAACTCTCTTTTCATATGGGCTACACCAGGAAATGCTAACTTAAATAGATGATATGCAAATTAATAAATAATCACTGAAAATGTGACAAGCAAACCAATGACAGGAAAACAATCAAAGGCAGCATTACTGATTATTCATCCCTTTTAAGGCAACTGACCAGATTCACATCTACACAAATGTCCTCAAGAACAAGTATGCTTACAAAACTGCAGCTAAAACAACATTACATTGACATCATATTAAAATCGCTGGC